CTTGAGAGAATCGACATTTTGGGTGAAATTGATTATATGTTGTGCGGTATTATGAAGTGAAGAATCAAAGTAAGATACGATGATTCAAGATGATTTGATGTTGAATACTTTAAAGTATCAAATGTGATGAGATGAGATGAGATGAGATGAAATCAGATGAAGAGTATAAAGAGAAAAAGAAAAGAAGAAGAAGAAGTCGAACTCGACAAAATCATAAAAGCGAATACCTACTAGATAGTATTTCAAACTAAAAAGCCGGTTCGAAGAAAGAGACCATATCAAGATATCTAGTATGTATCTAGTATGTATCTAGTATGTATCTAGTATGTATCTAGTATGTATCTAGTATGTATCTAGTATGTATCTAGTATGTATCTAGTATGTATCTAGTATGTATCTAGTATGTATCTAGTATGTATACAAGAAATCGATCTACCTACTAGTACTAACCATCAAACTAACCATCAAACTAACCCCCCGCCGTTTTTTCTTCCACCTTCACTTCCACCTTCTTATTATCAACTATCGATAATTCCACACCAATTCCACCTCAAGTAGTATCTAGCACAGCACTAGATACATCTATCATCCCCATCCGTCCACATCATCCATCACATCCCATCCCATCACATCCCATCCCATCACATCCCATCCCATCCAAGTCCAGAATAACCAAGTTTTTCATCTTAGATACCTACCTACCTACCTACCTAGCATGAAGATCAGAATTTAATTCACATACCTACCTACACTACATAAAATATTCCTACGGCGTATCTATTTATATCATTTCGACTCGTCACAGGTCTGTCACCTCTAGATTTTGGATCTCTCGATTTTAATGCAAATAGGGGGGTTGGATATGATTATATGAAGATTTAGATATATATAGATATATATATCTAGTAATCTATTAAAATAAAATAAAATAAAATAAAATAAAATAAAATAAAATAAAATAAAATAAAATAAAATAAAATAAAATAAAATAAAATAAAATAAAATAAAATAAAATAAAATAAAATAAAATAAAATAAAATAAAATAAAATAAAATAAAATAAAATAAATCTCCATCAATTTTCCCATCTCCCATCTTCCGCATCTACATTTCCAACCTAGAAAAACAAGTATACCTCCCTCCCTCCCTACCTCCCTACCTACCTACCTACGTATCAGATTTCCCCTCGCATATCCATCAAAGACGCCGGAGGGAATTCAAAGAGGAATATGAGGAAATACCTAGTGCCCAGCGAGAGCTTAGCTCCAAGAACGTGTTGATATGATTGATAAACCTCATAGATCGTTTGGCATGTAAGATTACACTACCTACCTACCTAGGTAAAGAGAGGTAGTCTCCTCAACAACGTACTAATACACAAGACAGATCAATCCCAAGTCCACCATGCAATACAATCTAGATCACCTCTTCAATCTCAAATCTTGAATTGAACAGTCAAAATTCAACCGTCAAAATTCAAAATTCAAATCCACCGATCTACCATCTACCATCTACCATCTAAAGATTTTGATAGCTTGACGGGTGGATACCTACCTACTACCTAGCGCTCTACTAAACAAATCTCCCCACCAATCCATCCACTCAGCATCCACAAAATTTTCCTGCTCCCCTCCTCTCCCCTCTCAACATGGGAATTCTCCGGCGCAAACATGTGAAAATTTGTTGGATGGGATATCACGCTCAAACCTTAAATTTCATCTATGATGTCTCGTAGGACATTCACATATATACCTAGTAGATAATAGAAGTAAGCTATCTGATCCTATTTTCCGATAATGATATGATATGATATGATATGTGTGATCTAGACTTACTGATCACCTCGTATCTTCCAGTCACGATTTGGTTCTTTGGATGAACATTTCGACTTACTTATCCAGATTTTTGGTACAAGCAACCAATTAACACTTCACTAGGATTATCTAGCTTATCATAAGCCTCCTGAGAGTATGATCTTGAATATCAACTTCATTTCCACTGTGTATCGATATCTGGAAGAGTATTCGGTGGATCACTTACCGAACAATCATTTTTAGACTTCCAATTTTATTCGAGTACTCGGTGTCTTAGTGATCCTTGGTACCTCTAACACATGTCGGTACAGACTAGGTAGACATGAAAAGAGCATTACCCAGTACCAAAGACCATATGGTGTTGGTAGTACTTACCACCAAAACCATGGAAATCATGTACGAATCCGTGTGTGATGGAGCTTGCCAGGATATCATTTGTCTTAGCCCTATCTCGGTTATGCAACACATTAGGGAGGAAGAGATGGTACTGCAAGTGATCAGACCTTTGAAAATCTACTAAGAAATCTTCCGATGAACTGGTATCGATGGAAGCTTGAAACAGCCTCTCGGTCGTTACCCAAAAGTATAAAATGCCATGTGGGAAATGTTTTGGGGAAATATTTGCAGTCGTTCGATATAGTAGAGCTTGTTGAAGGTATGTGCGAATTTGTGGAAAGTTTATGAAGTATGAATTGTGACATCTCTCAGAAAGATAGACTAACTCAACGGAAGACTTCCTTTCATCAAAGAGAGACCATTACAGAATGAGAACATATCTCAGGAAGATAGAACTATCCACCAAAATGTTAGACCTCAACGTTAAATGAGGCTGAAGCCTTGAGCCATTCTCTACTCGTCGCATCGTTTGCTGCAAAGATTGACCAGAAATACGATACTCAACTACCGGTATGCATTAAAATGTAGTTGGAATAATCGATAGATCAAGAGAAGGTTTTGTTGTTCGGCCAATACCAAGGTTGTCGTTATCAACAAGGACGGGAGGGAAAATTGCTACTGCACTGCACGGTACTGACCTGATTTCATTCATGATGAGAAACGCTCCAATCATCATAAACGAAGATCCAACTTATAACTGCAGCCTCCCGCGTATGCATATTCTCCCCCATGGTACGATTTGAAGCGTACCCAGTATGCATAACATACCGGTGAAGCTTGTTCCTAGCATATCCATTTGTTTATTTGTGTCTTGTTTCTAGAAAGCGGAATGATAAATAAAACCTTGGCAGGTCCGATTTTATGAACCTCCGAAAGATCCGTGATTTTCATGGGGTTGTGAAAAGCGTGACGATTCCGAGCATTGAATTGCACCCATCCGGAGATTTCAACTGTTCGAAAAAGAGAGTTTTCCACAACCCAGTATTGGATTCTTCGTTTTCCAAATCCAGGATCTTGTCACCGAAGAATCGGAGAAGTCTAGTGAGGATAAAATCCTCGGAGAAAAAGCCACGATTCCACGGATTTCCTAGTATTCTCCGCCGCATGAGGACATTGTCCTCAATTGGAGAAATTCCGCTTTGAGTGGTATTGCTAGGACATTTTCCCATCTTCCGTGACGCCTCCCGTCTGGCCAATTGATTCTTGGATGGTGGCTGTAGAGAGAAGGAGATCTAGAACGCTCGACTGAGATATCCGGAAAAAACTACTCGTAAGGAACATGTCAATTCATTTGTGGTGAAAGATTTGGATATTCATCATTATGATGATCATGATCGCAGGCATGTTTAGGTATTTGAAAGAGGCATGTAACGGACGGGAGCGGGGGATCGTATTCGCCAAGACCTTATGATGGACTGTTCAGTGCATACCGGTACTGTCAAATCCCAAGATAAGCAAGCCTACGCAGGACGAGTACAGAGGCTCGAGGATTGGATCTAGGATGTGTACATTTGCATGGCATGGCATGGCATGGCATCGCATGGTAGGTGTATCATTGAGTAGCAAATCCACCCAACAAGTCAAAGAATGAGGAATGATGAGGAAGAATAAGGAAGTTTGAGAAAGTTTGAGAAATTCTATATTATTTCCTTAACAAATGATATATATGTATATTTGTATATTGATTCTTCAAGAAGTACAGCCCCCAAAGAAGTATGAATTTCTTTCATCCGCCAGAGATCTTAAAGAAAGATGGAGATGGGGGCTGAATTATAAGCACTCAACACCCACCCTACGCCCTTAGCAGGATAGATAATTTAATGAACGAGATTCAATCCATCCTCAACAACTCATCATTTGGTATAAATAGTCCTCTCACCCCCAACTTCACATCGACGTGAATACCCGTGGACTTGAACAATATTGTATTCCTTCCCTTTCTTCCCTTCCCCACTACGGAGTACACTGCCCTGCATCAACTGCCGCTCAATCTATCATGCATCGAATGATCCCAGTCCGACAAGGAATATAAAAGTTAACGACGGATGTGAAAATCCATTTTGGACATTCCCCATGTCTCAAGAAGCGCGTGAAAACCGATCCCGACGGAAAAGAGTTTCAAAAAATGAAGGGATGATGGATATCATTTTGATATCGACATGCGATTCAGCCATCACCTACTAGGTAGGTACTCTCACATAGCAAACCTTTCCATCATTCATGCATGTATCTCTCGGGGATCGAATCCAATGCACCATACATACATACCTACCTAGGTACATAGCTGCCAGACGGAAAGATTCGCTTGGAAGATTGTTTATCTCCCAACATTTGAAACACCAGCACAGAACATCGGGTGAGCTCACGATTGGTTGATGGAAGGAATTATTGGACCCCGAAGTATGCTAAAATGAGACACGTGATACGGATCCCAGAGTGGGAGAGTTTATTAGATGATCCCACGGTGCGAGGGTGCCACTCATCTCATGATAAGATCAATCCATAATATCATCAAAGTAATTATACCTGGCTCATCGACTGTGTGAGATCTTCCAAGGGTCCAAACGATAAATCCCGTACATCTTCCATCAAACCAGAGAACACACGTAAAATCAACCTGTGGCCGTATGAATATGAATCCTTTCTGTTGACCTTGGTAAATCATTATTGTTGGTCACCTCAATTTCTATATTTATCACATCTTGCCTTGCTTCACTTGAAGAGAAACTTGCTTGCCGTGCCTCACCTTACCTGGCATAATTTTAGCGAGAGAATTACATGTACGGCGTGAGCGTGTAAAAGTTAATAAGTTGTTCCACTTACAATTTCATCATCCCGAACCCGCACGGCCAACAAGCAGTTGAATTAACCCGCACAACAATCCGAAACCATCGCAATCCATCCCCATTTATTCATTACAAGCAATTATCACCGTCGCTTACTCTATTCATTTCGGATCTCATCGTGGAGAGGTCATTCCATTACCTGAACCAACTTCCCAGTTACGCGCGACTCCGAGGCGCAAACAATCCACTGTGGCGTCCGTTCTCACTCAAACGCAGTCGCAACTGTCTCTTCAACAACACTTGGATATCTCGTCGGAGGTCCTGGAATACGTGCAAGAGGAACTGGAGGGGGAACCACAACCTTTGATGATGGCGCAGGCAGGAGGGCCTAACCAAAATCCGCCAAATGACAAGAGAAGGGTCAAAGTCTATGAGTTGCGCGATGGTGACTGGTTTGATAGAGGAACCGGCTTTTGCAGAGCCGACTTTATGGTTGTATGTTGATGCTTTCATTCTCAATCTTCACGCATGCATCTATTGTCTGCGCGCCGATTGTTCTTGTCCTTATCTCTCTCTCTCTCTCTCTCTCTCTCTCTCGCATTTTCATCGGGACTTGTTGCCTAATCATCTTGAATTTATATAGGATAATGGCCCTGAAAAATCAGACCCTAGAGTAATGGTGCAGTCGGAGGATCAACCAGGTCGTATACTTCTAGAGACTAAGATCGTTAAAGGAGATGAATTTCAGAAACAGCAAGGTATTTGGATCAGCGCATGATTCCCACATTTCATACTAATGCGTGCCATGCAGAAACTCTCATAGTATGGACGGAACCGGATAGTGAGATGGATATGGCTCTCAGCTTTCAAGAAGCAGAGGGCTGCACGGCTGTTTGGTAAGTGGCATGTCGCGATTAACGCGTCACAAGATGGTTGCGCATCCGAACATTTCTGACTGATGCTTACTACAGGCGATTCATCAACAACATACAAACGACTCTGGGTGGACATGGAGGAATTAGTATTGAGGGTAAGTTGAGCAACCTAAAGTTCTACTCATGATATCCTTTTGGCCCTCATGGTACTTACTATTTTCTATAGAAGATATCATATCTGATGATAACATCCCCGAGCTAAACATTCCAACGTCTCTCCCCAATCCTTCATTGGGTAACCTGCCCGAATTGGAAATGCAATTAAGACAATTGAACAGCACAACATCCGGACGCGAAGCCCTTACGAAATTGGTGATCAACGAAAACTACATTCGCAGATTGATACCACTGGTCGAAGTAGCAGAAGATATGGAGGATTTACCAAGTTTACATCGACTTTGCAACATGATGAAGATTATAATTTTGCTCAATGACAATGCAATAATCGAGCATATCGTTACGGATGAGGTGGTTATTGGTGTTGTCGGAGCTTTAGAGTACGATTCGGATTTCCCAAGTCACAAGGCCAATCATCGACTTTGGTTAGGCAAAAAGGATATATATAAAGAAGTTGTCGAGATACCCGATGAGAACATCATGAGGAAGATTCATAATACGAATCGATTACAATATCTCAAGGATGTTGTCCTCGCCCGAATCTTGGATGACCCAACGTTCTCAGTTCTCAACGGTCTTATCTTTTTCAATCAAGTGGAGATTGTCCAATATCTACAGAACAATACAGCAGTTCTCAAGGAACTTTTTGGCATTTTTGGAAACCAAGAGACAGACCAGGAAAGGAAGAAGATGGCTGTACTTTTCATACAACAATGCTGCGCTATCGCGAAGAATTTGCAACCACCAGGACGACAAACGCTATACAATAACTTTTTGAGTCATGGTCTTTTGTCTGTCATTAATTTCGCTCTCAAACACAATGACGTTGGGGTTCGAGTGGGAGCTACAGACGTATTGGTTTCTATGATTGATCATGATCCGCAAATGATTCGTCAAACCATATTTCGACAAATGGCCGAGAAGCAAACTTTGCTGACTGATTCTCTTATCGATCTTCTTCTGGTAGAAGCGGATTTGGGTGTAAAAGCTCAAATAGCAGATGCGATCAAGGTTCTTCTCGACCAAGGTAGTCATGTAGGACCATTGGAAGGACTCTCCAAAGCCAATGGTGCTGAATATGCCGCTCGAATTCGAAACCAAACAGATCCTCAACATGAACTTTTCCTTAATCAATTCTATGAGGAGTCTGCGAAAAAATTATTTAAACCTTTAGTGGATTTGAAAGGACGCGAAGATATGAACTTTACTGTTCATCAAGTATCTTTATTCATTTACTTGATAGAGATTCTTTGCTTTTTCATTAGACAACACATGCACCGCAGCAAATATTTTGTGCTATCAGAAGGATTAGCTCAACGTATCTCTCAGCTTTTGGGGAGCCCAGAGAAGTACCTAAAATTAAGTAAGTCACTGCATTTTAACAGCCTTGAACTTTCTTTACTAACGAACTCTAGCTGCATTGAAGTTTTTCCGAAATTTGGTTGGTTTACAAGATGAATTTTACAATCAACAGATGATGCAAGATCATCTCTTTGAGCCAGTCTTAGACCTTGTCATTGAAACAATGCCTCGAGATAATCTTTTGAATTCAGCTTGTTTGGAGTTCTTTGAATTTATCAAGAATCAAGGTTCTAGTACAAGGGTTTTGGTCAATCATTTGGTGGAAAACTATCGAGAAAAATTCGAGTCAATCACCTATGTTGACACTTTCACAAATTTCATCACAAGGTATGATAATAATCAGGGATTTGCATCGAGTATGGACACTTCATTCCTCGACACCGAAGATGAAAGTCCGAAGAGACCTGAGACAGGTAGAGGTAGTAGATGGGGCTCAGGTATCAAGGACTTAGATGCGGATGAAGAAGCCTATTTCAATACTTCTGACGATGAAGAGGAAAAATCTCAGGATCAGAGTTTGACGAATGGGGAATCACCTGCTTCGCAGCCTTTAGTTGACTATCCATCGGATGAAGAAAATGAAAATTCGGAAAACGATATTTCTGTGGGTATAACCTCCGCTCCATTAAGTCGGAGCCCTTCGCCAAAGCCATTAGCTTCCAAAGATTCCAGTGGAGATGAGTTAGTATTAACTCCTACTTCTTCCACACCAACTCCACCAGAAAGGCTATCGGAAAAACGCAGGAGAGAAGAAGATGAAGAAGATGAACTCGGCAAACTTTCCCATCACAAACGAAGAAGTTCTACGAGTTCTACGACATCAACCAATAGCGTGTTGAGGAGGAAACCAAGCTTCAACAAAACACGAGATGGTAATAATGGACCTAAAAAGATTGCAATCAGTTTAACTCCAGCTATCAAAACTGGTGGCGATAGCCCTGGTGGCAGTTCAAGTTGACATACTGTTACGTTGATTTAAAAATCTTTTTTAATGGAAGATTAAGATTCTTCGGAGGACATTGGCGCTATTTAATTGCACGACATGGAGTTTGGGCGAAAGGAAGGGAAGGAAATGGAATTGTTGCTGATTGATTGATATAAACATTCACTCAGTTCAAACCAGTGACAGTGATTGCTTTATTGGTTTGCTTTTAATTTTGGCGCCAATTGTTCAATTTTGCTTGCATCAAGATTCTTGGCTTTGGCTTGATTTTTTCGCTTTGGTTGAAAGGATGGGGAGGGAAACTTTGCGGAATTCACTTGATTGTCAATTACTTGTACAGTAGAATTGGGACAGCGATATTTCTGGGAATGAAGGGATGGATAGGTGGGATGGGATGGGAGGAAAATCAAATGATTAGCGAAGGAAAGGGGAGAGGGCAGAGGAGAGAAGAGAAGAGAAGAGGAGAGGAGAGGAGAGGAGAGGAGAGGAGAGGAGAGGAGAGGAGAGGAGAGGAGAGGAGAGGAGAGGAGAGGAGAGGAGAGGAGAGGAGAGGAGAGGAAATGAAAAGATGAGAAGAGATGAGTTGATATCAGATGAATTGATATTATCTTTGTCAAGTAGATGTTGATATTGATGACAGCATGAAATGAAGATTTTCAGCACTTTGATTGATTGATTGATTGATTTTGAATGGTATGAATGATTTGAATGCAGGAATCGAACTATTAAAATTCATTATTGAGATGTAATGTGATGTGATGTCATACAATAAATGAATGAATGAATGAATGAATGAATGAATGACATTAACACTATGTCTTGAAGAATATATATTATATATTCTAGGAAATCTATTCTCTCCCCTTTTTCCATCTCATTCTCATTCCATCTCATTCTTATCTCATTCTCATTTTATTCCTATCTTATTCCCATTTCATTCCTATTTCATTTCTATCTCATTCCTATCTCATTCCCATTATCTAATGTCTTATATCTTTTTTATATATCTTTTTTATATATTTTGATACATATCTATCTATTATTAAACTTCATTTTTATAAGTTAGACTTTCTATATTATAAGTAAGTATAAAAGGTTATCTATGATTTTATTTTGTTTTATATAAAATATAAAGTATGAAATATAAAGTATAAAGTATAGGAAATAAGAAATAAATAGGATTGAAAGTTAGAAACTGAAGGCTAGCGATTATATTAGATTAGATTTGAAATATTATTTATTATATAGAAAACAAGAGTTATATATAGTAACTATAATACTTCTATAATATAGAATCTAGTATATAATAGATATAATTATTAAAACGAATATATAATAAATGTCATGGGATCACCTTTGGGAATATTCATGTTGGTTCAATAATGAGATCAGGAATACGGGAGACGTGGTTCCCACTATCATTAGTAGGCCCCTAAATGTCTGTATTGTATTCTGTCTAAAGAGCTAGCTAATGAGGGGAAGTAGTAGGCCTTATATAGGCACTACTGAAAGAGCTAGTCTCCTTCGCATTCGCCTAAATACCTTTGATATAGTAGCTATTATATTGAAATCATTTTTTTGAAGTGAATTCCCTTATTCACACACTCGGAACTCTTTTTTATGGCTTCAAATATAATGGCTGAAAAGAAATTCGTAAAATCATAAAATCCTCTATTTGCTAGTTAAAGTCCCTGATCTTTTATTAGCAGAATTAATCCCTTCCTTTAATCCCGTTCCACTCACTTTATTGCCTTGATATTGATTTTATTCGTATTAATCAGATTAGCAAGAGCTTGATATAGCTTTCCTTTTGTTATTGCATCAGCCGGATTAGTCGAACCATCAATCCAGATCACTTCAACGATCTCCCTCCATTTGTAGGATTGATGTAATGCTATGATATCAATCATTAATCTCTTTTCATTAATTATTCTCAGTTTTGTAAGTAGGTTGTATAATGATTTGGAATTAGTGTACAAAACTAATAAAATCTCCTTGTCGAAAATAATGTTAACTATAGAAGTGATTGTTGTATCGATATTGAATTCCTGAACTAATCTATATAGCTTGAATATCAAAACACTGTATATAATTCTTTTGTATTTAATAAATAATCAATAAATGATATTAGTATTATTGTGTTTATTTATTATAACAATCATATAGCCTATTTAGAACAAATAATCCTTATTATTCACAAAAGAGGTATCAGCAAAAATAACAATCTTAAGTGAATCTAAGTCAAGTGGTATATATTTGAATCCTCTAATAGAGTTTTCTTTTTATTATTTGATATACTTGTTTAATGCTGCAATATCATTCTTACCAAATTGAATTATTTGTATTACTATAAACAAATCGAAAGATGCCTTGGGTTGATATATAGTTATAATATATACTCCACAGGCTCATTGTATAACATACTATTTACATATAGAAGCATACTTCCGAATCTTGCTACATATACCATATATATCCATAGATCTTATAAATACAAGCTATAGATTACTGTATTGCCTCTCCTGATTAAAATAAATATTATTATTTTTGAATATAAAAATAACATTATTAAACTTTAATAAATGATCATAAATAAATTCCTTATGATTCTTAGCCATAAAGTCAGCTTACTTGAATTGCTTATTCTCAGTTTATATAAATATATTATCCCTAATGATGAATGTATTATTTATCTAAAGCTTTATAATATCAAATCTAGTCCCCTTATTATTAGTATACAAAAAATAAGGGTTATATATAGATTACTGCATTTTAAGCTTTTTGTAATGATGAGTATGGTATATCCAGAACCAATAGTTTCCTACCTCAGGAATATTATATAATAGCTTAACAATAAGTAAAATCATATTGGTTGGTAGATTCATTTCTTTCAAAATATGGATATAAAAAGTGTAATGTAAATTCGAAGTGGATTGAGTATATGCCTAAATAATATTTCGAATATATACTTCTATACTTGTTTTTCGAGTACTCACAATTAGTAAGATTAAAATACATTAATATAATTATTGAATTGTTAGGGATTGTATCAATATAGATATCTTATTAATATTATTATATGCTTGAATAACTAATCTCGACTTACGGAATTCAGTATTCGTTCTTTTATTCTTAATCTTATCAACAAATCGCAATTTAAAAATATATATATTAAAAAGAATATCCGAAAATGATATAACCTTGAATACACTCTTAATTGTTAATCTATCAATCTCTTTTTTCCTGGATTCTTTATATATAATAGGATCCTTGGGATTAGTAGTAAAACATTCAGGATAGTAATCTTGTATATAAGCTCGAATCTGAGATATAACTATTTATGGGAAAGATGTTAGTATAGATATCTAATTGTTTTTGAATAAATTCAAGAGAGATTCCTCTGGATTTGTTGTATATGTGATTACTGTTTTTGAAGAAGGCAATATAACTTTATCGGAATTTGATAAAGTTATCTCGAAATTAATATTATGATTAATTTCTTTAATCTCCTTAATATATCCAGTTTCTAAATACTTATAATACAGCTTTATCAATATAAATCTAAATCTTGTAGGTCTATAAGGTAGATCAAAAGTATATATCTTCCTTTCCATACTAATAAATGAAAAAGGTCCTTTTTATTTATTAATAGCTATTCCATTATTCTCTCTCCAAACCAAAACCTTGCTATTTAATAGCAAGTCATAAAGTATAGTTGTAGAGGATCCGTTACATATATTCAAGGTCTCTCATACTTGTATAAAACTATATAATTTATAAATCTCTATCATAGCTTTAAAGATTATAGTAATATATTATTAAATAATAAATATTAAAAAGCTAATATCAATTATACAGAGAAAAATACCAAAAACAAATAAAATAGATACTAAATCATCAAATCCAGTAATATCATTAATTATCTTTATAACTATTTGAAATATAATTGCTTTGTAAATATTAAGTTTATAAACTTCTTTGTAAATAATCTTATAAGATCTTTATAATAGTATATAAAATCTTTTAATAATATTGATTGAATAATATATCTTTATAGGGACTGTCTTTATCTGAATAAATATTGACATAGTATATTGTTGAAACTCTCTTCTAATAAAATTGATATTAATATTATAAATAATATATTCTGATAGACCAATATATATATCGATCCAATATTTATAGAGTTTATTCCATATATACTTTACAGATATATTGCTTAGCTATTAAGCGACTTGAAAACATATAGCTTTATCAACAATATATAGGATTGGATTATTGTTAATATAAAGTATATTGATAAATATAATATAATTGAATTCAAAATCCTTATTGGGTAAAGAGAATTTGAATCTATTGGGTGACTTGCTATAAATTTGATAATAGTAATAAAACTTGGTAAGTTATTTGATTATTTCAAAGTCTTTATTGTACCTGGAGTGTTTAAGTACTTTATAGAACTTATATATAGATAAATAACTAAACCGATAATGAATTTATTGTAATTCGATTTTGGTAAGATAGCAATCATTACTATCAATAGAATAATTAATTAATCTCTCAACATTGATATTTCATAGCAAAAATGCATAGCCGAATTATTGATACACAGAATAAACGCCTTTAGATATAATAGCAACATTATCAAGGTTATCATACTTGAATCTAAGTCTATTTATATTGGCTAAAGAAAACAAGAATAGAAGATCAGCTTCCATTACATTCCATTTTATTTCTTCAAATAAAAGCTTGATATAAAACGAACCAATAAAAATCGTTGCTTTAATACTATATTGAATTATTACTTATCCAGCAATAGCTTTATTATATTCAATATTCTCGATCTTCTTTCATATCAAATATTGATTATATTCAATAGATAATCTCTTAATCACATTTGTATCAATTATAATGCTGAAGAATGTATCAGCATTATATTGCTTACCACTTGTAATGAATATTTCAGTTATCAATTTATAAGTGTTTGTAATATTATTAAGATCAATTGTTATTAAAGAATTATTACAAACACCTATTGAGATAAAGAATATTCTAAAGATCTCTTCAGAACTACTTGTATCAATAAAATACTGATTAATGAGATAATCATTATTATTATTACTATCACCATCTCGATTATCTTCTTATCCGATATCAATAACGAACTAATTATATTGTTTCATAAAGCTCTTATTATCAAGATTGTTATATTTAATATAGTAATTCATCTTAAGTTGATCTTTCTCTTTTTGTATATATTTATAATATCTATAGCCCTTCTTTTTATAATTAGAAAAATAATAATTGTTCTTATCCTTATTAGCTAATGTAAAGAAGGATTGTTGACCAATATATTTATTATAAGGTTTCCGAAAAGAAAAGTCTAAAAATACATTATTATAGAAATATTGATCTATAAGGAATATCTTAAGTAAAAGGTATAATTTTGGAAATGCCTTTCAATAAGAGTCGATAGTCTGTTTAATCTAATTAATAAACTTTGTAATAATTGGATGAGGATTACATATCAC